GCAATCGCAGCTCCCACGAACGCGTTGAGGGCGTTGTCGTACCCTACTCGAGGGCGCTCGCAGCCATACGCGATCACGCGTGCTAGTACGGAGCCGACGAGTACCGCGCCCATCTTCGTACAATGCGCGTGCAGATCGCAAGCCGCCGCCTCCTAGGGAGCCCTACCGCACCGGTGCAGTGCGTGTAAAGGGAACGAGCGGCACCGCGGACTGTCGTCATAAAAACGTCGGCGGGACACCGGCCGCCATCGCGCCCTGTACTGTAGTATACACTTTGTGTTCACCCGCATACAGGGTGCCTGCGGGGCACACGCCGCCATCGCCGTCCCCAGCGTCCCGCGAAGCCGCACGGGCGGCATCGACCGGACGTGACAGGACGAAAACTGTCGACGTACGGTGGGGGACCTTCAGTAGCAAAGATGTGGGAGAGGCCTCACGGTCAGAGTCCGGACCGCGAAGCGTAGCTCGAATACGAACGCGCCCGTCGGTACGGGTACAACAAGATCACGTTGAGAATGAAGGTATACGGAGCATCAATGTGTCTCACTCTCTGCAGAAATGGAGGCCGCTCCTGGCGCTTTCCCCAGAAGCAGGGGGAGTCCGGATAAATTCCCGCCACGGATCGTCCCGAGGGGCTGAGGGGTGAACGACTTGGATGGTTCCGTGGAGATATTCCACAACCGTCGTGCCCTAGTGAACGGCAGATTTTGGTGACGAAAGAATGCTCGACCTACCACTGGGAGATGCTCCTGGCATTGAGAGAGCAGCATCATGTGGCAATACCCCGCCGAAAAGGGTGACGAGACGGACTTCCTTACGGACACGAGCGCGTCGCTAGAGAGCATTGCGGAGTGTAACGCGGACGGAATGAAGGACCAGTTGCTCATACGAGCACCGAGTACGACCACCTGCACCTCGTCCCGTGTCCGAACGATCAAGCACACCGTGCCCTGCTTTCGCAGCAGACACCACCTCACGCCACCGTGCAGAGATGACACTACCCCGGTCTGACAAGAGTGAAACCCCTACAGATACATTGTTCAGAATAGAGAGAAGAGGAACGAACAAGATGGAAGGACAGGAGCAATCGTAAGAGGCGGGAAGGGGTCGTCGGGATCGCGAGCAACACGCCGTGCAGCTGTAAGACTGAGTTAGTCGACCTGGGAAGGACCGAACCTGACATTGGTTGCGGAACTCAGAACTGGAAACCGCTGCAGTGGAGGGCGCCGGACAACGCGGACTCGAGAAGGTGGGTCGGTAGGACAAGGAAGGAAAAAGAATCCAGGGACGGGCACAGGAGGAGTTCTAGGAAAGGCCACCCTCGATCGCAAAACCACTCGGACGGGGAATGGCGATCGCGGATGACAGAAACGCACGGACGCAAGAGCGCCAGGGAGTTTGTCCACCGTCGGCGGTGCTGGCGAAGGTTCAGGCAGTGGGACGGACAGATTCTACAAGCCTCAGGAGTGAACGCGGACGTTCACACTCGAGGGGGGGGGTGATGTGGTATAACCCCAAACGGAAATTAGATTAGAATTGGATCAGGGACAGTAAGGCAACGAGCCTTACAGCCATGCGCGCACACACGTGTAGTCCACGTGTACGGGACGCGTACTACACGTGGACTGTCAGCCCCGCCGGCTGACAGCGTTACAGTGTCGGTAGACCGGCACTACTGTAGAGTTATGATAGACTACAATGTACATTAAATATGAGCGGACCGCCGGCGGTGGAGGACGACAAGCACGGACTTGTCAAGGATCCTCCACCTTGGTCCGCCCGCTTACTTTTAGGTACTTCCGTCCGTTTTACCTAGGAGTCGCACCGCGCGCGGGTTGAGGACGCGCGTAGCACGCCCACGAGCCGGCTCCGCCTCCGCCCGTCGGTACTGGATCGTCACCCAGTACCGCTCCGGGGCGTCGAGGCGTAGAACCGCTCGCGCGTGCGCGCGTCCTCCCCGATCCCGCTCTACCACCGCTACCTCGAGCCCGTGCTCGGTACCGTGGGTGGGCCGTGCTTCTGTCTTCCCGCCGATCGGGGTCTTTCCGAACTGTCAGTACTCACCCCCCTCGTCGTTGGGGGTGATTATACTACAGTCTTGCTAGCTTCACATTCGCTTTCGTTGATGCGCTCGCGGCAGTAGATACCAGATCGTAGGATTCGCGCAGGGGACCGTCTGTAAAAGCATTCACACCCCCCTTTTTCGTCCCTCTCCCCTTCCTTGCTTGAGTTGACATTTTTGAAATTTTAAATCCCCCTAAACCTCTTGCTAAGGGATTGTCTTTCAGTAATCCAGCGGGGAAATGATTGTTGAAGCCAGTTTTGAAGAAATATGTGAACAGACACTATGAAAAGAGTACCGCTAAATATGCGATTTGATTGCGAAATTGTAGAAATGAAAGCCTAGATCATTCAAAACACATATTTAATTGTTTGGAAACTTTTGATGATGACGATCACACGTATTCCCAAAGAGCATTGGTTCTTGCTTTTTTCAGAATACAGTACTGTGGATCTAGTGCACTGACTGGCTTGCAGTCATCGAGAATCTGTCCACCCACGTCGGTGACGTGTATTACATGGAAGCTTTCCTAACAAGTACTTCGTAGATATGCTTTGAAAGGTAGAGGGGTATGTCAATGAGTACATTCTCCTACCTGAACAACTTTCGTTTAGTTACGGTAGTCCTCTACACTCGAATACTTCGCTAAGTTATAGTCTACGCATTTAAATGGAAGTGAGTAGAACGTAATCAGATGCTTTTATCCTTAATCATAGTTTACTTAAGAGATTCAATACGGAAACACAGTTTCGCCATTTCGGAAATATTGGACATCGTAGGAAGTACTCATTTAGACTTTTACATTGGATATGGTGAAGCTTTTCGTTTGGAGAATGCGATTCTTGTGGAATCTAGTGTTGGAAATTGAGAATCTCTAAGTTGAAATATTCTTTCCAAATTCTATTTTGCGTGTGATTAAAACATTGCTAACATTCAGATGATGAGGTGTATGACTTCCTGCTGTCTTGTTAGATTCTTATCTTAAAGAGTATATAAGAGTTCACAACTCAGACATATCCAAAGGTTTATTACAAATAGAAGTTTTCTTAAAGTGCTCTAAAAAGTCTCAGGAAGCTACCTTAGTTGATGCTAGAAACATGTATTACAAAAGAGGCAAATAGAGCATTCTCTTCAGGAACATATACCATATCTAAACTTTTAGAAGGCCTTGTTAGTTCTGTTTGCACCATTCTCACCCACAACCTGCAAATCTTTACGGATATCATTACCCTGGAGTAGATATACTTCTTCAAATCAGGAAACACAAACGTTTAGATCCAAGGTGTGGTGAGCCAATAGTACTACTTTGGATTATAAAACTTGAACTCTCTTTTGAATGATCGTTTTAAAGGTTATGTATCGCTTTGTAGAATAGTGAGGTACACAAAGTCTCCAAGCCCTTACAAATTTCATTAGGGTTAAAAAAGTACCTTTTTCTGCATTGAAAAACTTAGGATGTGTACGTTCGGAACCGTACTACCGCATACTACCCAAAATACCGAGCATTGACGAAAAAAACCGATGTGTGCACTGCTTTCGTGAGCAGAAATTTATCTGGTTCATATGAATTAATGACCTTAAATCTTGTTGCAGTCATTTCAGTCCGGAAACTGTGAATCAGCTTTTTTCGATGAATAATTCATGCTTCTATGGCTACTGACGATTAAACTTTTCGGAAATCCTGTTTTCATACGAATAAATTTGGATTTGGATCTATTTCGTTTCCTAACGTGGCTGTAATAGAGATAAAATTGTATCAAGTGCATGCAAGCAATATAAGCTTTCAGGTTTTTTAGGTTACGCTGCTGGGAAATTACAGGCTTTTCATTCATAAATGGCGAAAATGTGATTTTAATACGAATACAAAAAAGGCCTGGAAGAACTTTAGGTGTTAAATGCACATGAGAATCGCTTTTTTTTATCACCACTGTTAATGTGACGAAGTTTTATTTGTCATTGCAAATACTGATTTTATAAAAATCCAGAACAGAATTTCTGGGTTGAGTATGACTCTTTTGTGCCGAAATATGCCCAAAAGTAGGCATTTGAAAATGCAGTTATGACTATGAAAGTGCAGTTCACAATTAGAAGGATTGCGTTTAATTTTCCGGTTGTTCCGGTATGTTATTCTTTAATAAAAATGAAGCTTTAACTTTGGTTTTGGAGAAACTCTAACCTCGTACTGCGGCAGTTCGCATGAACCTAATTTGTTCTACTGTACTCTTCTCCTGTAAATTAATACAGTACTTAAATTGGTACTCGGAAGCTAGAGTACATAATTTGGTACTCGGAAGATCCGAAAGTGATCCCTTTTTACTGCTGCACGGAACTGCAGAAAATTGGATCAGTTATTTCTAGGTTTTTCGCATTTCGTGTCACTACTTTCAAAATACGTTTGACCGATGGTTGTTCTGACGATATCGGTGAGTGAAGTTTCGGCTCTTCCTGGAGGCTCTGGAGCTCTACGTGACCTGACACGTGACCATGTAAGGATGGGCATCACGCGGTTCACAAATGATTCGGCAGTACACAACGTTTACTAGAAAAAATGGCACACATAAATTTTTCGCGCTAGACGTCATCATTTTCCGCGGTTCACATCGCTGGCAATGTAAGTGACACTAACTACAGTAACTGGGTGTACAGTATCGTAGCGTATTCCCTTGCGGACGTCCTTTGCCAGGTAAAATTACCAAACTCTTCACCCCGTGGAAAGTTTTTCAAAAAATTCAATGGCTTCTTTTGCCCCTACTGTAATTGAGTTTATTGAGAATTGTATTAAAATCACGGTGCATATCGCGTATGATAAAAAACTTTATTTACAACCAGGGAGAACCCGCTTGAGACGCTTGTGATGACGATGACGTACCCTTAACGTTAATGTTAAGGGTAGCCACCCGCCGTCCTGCATCACAGCCCGACCTTCTCCCGCGCCACTCTATCTATCCTCCTTCCTTCCCACCTTCACCATGGACGAAGCCAGCCTGCCGGCGCTGTCCTCCCTGCTCACGGGCAACACGCCGCCCCCCACACGGGCGGCCGCGTGCAGCGCGATCGCGGCAAGCACGTCCGCGCCCGCGGCGGCGGGGCTTCGGCGGGTGATCGGCACGACTGCCGCGGGCGACGTGCTGCTGCGGCGGCTGCTGCTGCTGAGCGGCGACGCACACTGCGCGCGCCTCGCGCTGTCCGCGCTGGTGAACCTGTCGGAGGACGAGACGGCGGCGGCGGCCCTGACGCGCGCGGGCGCGGTGCGCCGCGCGGCGCAGGCCGTCCTGGACGCGGACAGCGTCGCGTTGCACGCGGCGCTGCTGTCCAACCTGACGCGCTTCGCGCCGGGCGTGGACGCGCTCGTCGGGGCGGAGGGCGCGGACGGCGTGAGGGAGAGGGGCACGCTACTCGCGCTCGTGGAGAGGGTACCGCGTATACCGAACGTGCTGTGGCTGTCGAATGCGTGCGCGAGCCGGAAGGGGAGGGACGCCCTGTTGGTCGAGGGAAGGCAAGAGGAGAGACAGCCACTGACGAGGTTGCTGAGATTGCTGGAGGCGGCGGAGGCAGAGAAGAGGCTGGCGGCGGCGAGCGGGATGCGTAACTGCGCGATGGCGGACGAGTGCCATGATGTGTTGGTGGGGGGGACGGCGGCGGTCGCGATGTGCTTGGGAAGGTTAAAAGAGGTGGGAGGGGAGGAGATGGCGGAGATTCGCGTCTTGTTGGTCGAGGCGGTGTTGTTGTTGTGTAAGAGCCGGGTGGGGAGAGACGCGCTCAGGGATGGCGGGGCCGTCGACGTTCTGGAGGGATGGAAGGGGGGGAGGAGCATGCACGCCGTAGAGAGCATTCTGGATCGCCTCGCCGTCGCGGAGGAAGGGGAGGAGGTGGATGTGACGGAGGCTATCACGGGATTGGGAGGAGGCTTTGTGCAACCGGTGGACGGTGTGTCACGTGTGTAAATATCCTCACGACCCCGATACACAAGATTTGAGCGGGGAGCGCTTCTGCTTTCCATGTTACCGCTTCTTCTTCTTCTTCTTGTCCGGCGGTCGCTTCTGAATCTGTACGTCCGGATTCTCCCTTCGAAACTTGCTAGTCGCGGAGCTCAGGCTAAAGATCCTATCGCTAGGCCTAGACTTCCTATACTTTGGCGCACCAGTCGCCGTGCCACTCCCACCACCCTTCATCTGCTTGCCCCTATCCACCCTTCTGACAAACCCGTCCCAGCCCCTCAACACGTTACCATGCGCCCACGTGCTCGTGATGTACTCCTCCTCCATCGCGCCGATGTCGCGCTCCACGGCCTCCACCTTCCGCTCGAGCGACGCCGCGGTGCGCGCCAGCATGGTCTCGAACGCGGCCTTGTCCGCGGCCAGCGCGGACAGCTCTGCCGCGCGCGCCGCGGCCTGCTGCGCCTTCACCAGCGCGCGCGCGTCCGCCGCCGACTTTTTCTGCGCCGCCGTGGGCGCCGCCGCGCTCGCCGTAGGCCCGCCGGCTTCGTGCGCCGGCTTCGAAGTAGAGGACCCGAAACTCGCCGCCGATACGCTCGACGCGCTGCCCGCCACGTGGGCCAGCTTGCGGCCCCCGACCGACGGCTTACCAGCCGCCAGAGCTGCCGTCGCGGCGGTCGGAGGAGGCGCGGGTGGGAGGGGCGCGCCCGCGGCGGGAGGCGGCGCTGGCGCTTGCGACGACATGGGAATGGACCGATGTGAGGACGGTGGAGAGGTTCGGCTGGCGGAGGGGCCTCTTCCAGACATTCGGCACACCGATGTGACAAGGAGGCGGAAATCGCGAATACTGTACCCTTGGGTACTGTTGCGCCTACGCACACGTGGCAGGCGGTGTCGGTTTCGGGAATGGGCGGCGTTCGCTGCCAAGGGAAACGGTCGTGGTAATGGGCAGTGCGTGGGCCAGCAGGGTAGCGGAGCTTGAGGGATCGAAGGGAAATGGCGGGGCGACGCCAAGGGAAACAGGCGGCAAGGCGCGAAAGGAAAGAGGACGGAAATGGGGTGATTGGGGGGGAGGGGGCCGACGGAAGGCGGGAATGGAGTGAAGCGAGACGCGAGAGACAGCGCCCGGGGCGCGGGAAGGCGCGCCGCGTAGGATAGGTAGTATAAAGGAGGGGATCGGGGAGCGAAAAGGAGAACGGGGGGGCATCAGGTGGAGTCCTGAGAAAGGGAGGAGAGGGGCTGATATCGGCTGATATCGGCTGATATCGGGTGGATTCCCGTGGATTCCGAGTGGACTCTCGGCAGCAACCTTTGGATACCAAATAAATCCTGATTTGACGGTGCTCATTTTATCGGGCACAACAGTACAGTATACAGTACCAAGGGTACAGTACAGTATTGTGATTTCTGGAGCTACTGTAATGTTACCCAATTTTGTACGCTACACTTGGTACTGTACCCTTGGTGCTACACAGTACAGTGCTTCCGCCTTATAAGAATAGCCCGTTGGAGAATGTCCTCGGTAATAGAATATGATGGCTGACTCCCGTGTTGGGAGTACCCAAAAAAGGCACATGGAGCAGCATTTTATTCTTATTCGACAAAAGAATAAAAATTTCTGGATGAGCTCAATTTTGGGGTACAGCAAGGCGTGTACTGTACGTACCTCAAAAAGGGGGCCAAAAAGCAATATCAGTCAGCTGTGTCGGCATATGAACATTTTTCTAGGGGAGAACCCGTTCAACATTGCAATTCTGCATCTTTGATCCGTTCAAACTACTTCGCGCTCCGATAAGAAACCATGAGAGACTTCATACGCACTTTCACCTGTACGGCACCAACTAGACTTTGGCTAAAAGCTGTAGATCTAGGGCGATCGCTTGCAGAATTAGATTCCCATATAGGTGACTTCCAATTTCTGTACTGCTGCTAGGGTACCACGCACAGAATTTAACCACCCCACGGCTGTTGACAGCGTGACATCACCCCCCCAATCACAGAATCTCCCCTAGACTTTTTTAGAAGGCGCTGACGAGCTTGCTGGACCTTATCATAAACACACCGATAAGAATAACCGCTTTATAAGAATACGGATCCTGTCTCCCGTCCTTAGAGTTCTTATATTTTATGATTTTATGAAGCAACTCGTAGAGGGGCTTTGCTGGTTGGCAGCATTCCGGTTTTTGTGGTTGACGTTCCGCCTCCCTCTTCTCTACAATTTTTGCACCTCCGCCACTCTGTCAAACTCGTTGGCGGCAACCTCCTCCTCCTTTAGCAACAACTCCGCGTTTACCCGCTCCGTGCCAACACCACAGCTTTCCCCACCATGGCCTTCGTCCCAACGCCGCCGAGCTCGCAATCAGCCTTCCTCCCGCGCTCCACTGCGGTCACCTCGACGCGCTCGCCGCGCTTTCGCCCCCGTCTCTCTGCGCGTCCAAACACGCCGGCCCGCATGGCAGCCGCCGACGCCGACGGCCAGGAGGAAGTGTCCGTCCCTCTCTCTTCGCTCAAGGACATATCCCCTCCCGCCCCCACGGCCGCCCCCACCGATGCAGCGCAAGGCGAAGAGGAGGAGGATCTGCGCACGGAGCAGCAGAAGGAAATCGACCGGTTACGCGCCGCCGAAAAGTTTATCCAGATCGACGAAGGCTCCTTCGAGTGCACGGCGTGCTCGTATTTGTACGAACCGGAAAAGGGCGCCAGACAGTTGGGTATCGCGGCGGGGACCCCTTTCGAAGAGTTGTCACCGGCGTTTGTCTGCCCCGTGTGCCGCTCTCCTAAATCTAGGTTTCTATCGAAGAAGAAAATCATTGCCGGCTTTGCGGATAACCAGAGTTATGGTTTTGGCAGTAATACGATGACCGGGGGGCAGAAGACCGGACTTATCTTCGGGGGATTGCTGATTTGCTTTGTGCTTTTGCTCTCGGGTTATGCTTTGAACTGACATCCGAATCGTCTGTCTGCCGTACGCCGCGCCATGTATTTGTCATCTACTTTAGCTGGGTGTACAACAAGTCTCTTCGTTCAGCATGCAAGTTATACTCATTCAGAATGTGACAATGCGACAACAGTATATTCTATAGGCATTACGTACATCAGTACATCAGTATGCAACATTGTTCATTTACAACACAATTAACCTCGAGATCACGTTAACGTTGCTCGCACAGATACGAGGCGACAATCTAGAGATCACGCTAATGCTCTTCGGACAAATACGAGCCGTTGATGACTGCATCCGCTTCTCGTGCCCATGCCTCCAGAAAAGCTGCTACCCCAACAGACGAAGCCGGCGCTGTGGCCAGTGCTCTCTTAAACCGCGTCCGAATCTCATCGAGAACGTCGACCCATCCCATCGGCGGTCGCTCAAATCCGTACGTAGCCCCTCCTTTCCGTGGGTACCCCCTCTGCACTCGAAGGATAAGCTTGGGCAACCGAATCTCTTGAATGTTCAATAGGCACGTCACGACGGGCTGTCCAAACTCCTCTATGATATCAATCATCAATAAAGGATTTCTTTCCTGTGCAGCCTTGCAGTCGGCCTCCACGGCCTCACGCAAGGATTTCAGTTCTTGAGCTTCATTCCTTGGTCGCTTGGCCAACCGCAGACCAGCTTCGCTAGAGCATTCAAACACAGCCTTGGATTTGATAACCCCATCCTTGTCTCCAAAATTATCTACGTCTACAAGCGAAGCTTGCCGTTTTCTACCCTTATTCTTCCCCTCCACATCCGATCCCTTGATACTCGAGCTGTTTCGGAGAGCGGCAAGCGTGTTGTGAATTCGTTCTAGCTTGGTCCTGTTTTGCTCACTGCCCGCGCGCTCTTGGTATTCTCGCGCCTGTTGCACAGCCTCGTGAACTAGCCTCTCAGTTTTCTGGTATTGTAGTTGGGTCGCCATTTCTGAGATTTTTGGACGGGTGGGTGCAGCCGCTGCATTCGACATCGCGCTCATCCCGGTCTGCATTCCATTCCAGCCTGGTACTCCCGCGGCGCCAGGGTGTGCCATCTTACCATTCGCTAAAGTCCCAGACGGAGGGAGGCCGTGTTGGCCAACACTTTGCCGCAAAATAGCCTTTTGGTTGCGAGCGGATTGTGCACGCAGCGCAACACCTTGCCGCGCTCGATACTGTTGCGCTCGAATATTGGGGTTCTGAAGCATTTCCTGGGCTTTCACTTGGCCAGGCTGCCCTTGCGCTTGAGCAGCGTGCGCTTGAGCTTGCGCAGCAGCCCGTGCGTGTGCGACGGCTTGAGCCTGCGTGGCCTGTGCTTGCCTTGCTGCGACAGCGTGCGCTTGCGCGGCTTGAGCGCTTGTTTCTGCTTGTGTCTGTGCCCGTGCTTGAGCCTGCATCTGTGATGAAGCTCTTGCTTGCGACAATACTTGCGGCTGCATCGATCCAGCCAGACCTCGAGAGGAGGCCATACCCTGGTTTCCACGCACGCCTCTTGCCTGCGCCCCTCGCCCTCTTCCCATCGCAGCTTTTGCTGCGGCGACCTTGCTTCCCAACTTCGAGCCCTCCGAGCCCAAGTCTTGCGCAAGCTGAGCGCTTCCTGGCCGTTGCTGGTGTGACATTTGCTGTGATTGCTGTGGAAGAATAGATGGCATCTGCGAGGAAGACAGAGGCTGCTGCTGTGACGTCTGCTGCTTATACTGCTGCTGTTGTTGCTGCTGTTGCTGCTGCTGCTGCTGTTGCTGCTGCTGCTGCTGCTGCTGCTGCTGCTGCTGCTGCTGCTGCTGCTGCTGCTGCTGCTGTTGCTGTTGCTGCTGTTGCTGCTGCTGCTGCTGCTGCTGCTGCTGCTGCTGCTGTTGCTGTTGCTGTTGCTGCTTCTGTTGCTGCTTCTGTTGTTGCTGCTGCTGCTGACGAGCTCGCATTTTCATGAACATTCTTCGGTCACGAACCTGGGCCTGGTGCTGTTGCAACCGGGCAAACTGCTGAGGGTCCTGAGGATGGACTCCTTGCTGAAGACTATGAGCTGCAGTTCCATCTTGATTCCCAGCTTGTGACATTCCGGTGGCCCCAAGCATGTTTGGTACCTTTTGCCTTGTCTGCGTACTTCCAGAAGTGTCATCGCCGGCTATGCCACCCGCTACTACTCTGCGTTGTCGTTCGTCATTGAGCATCAGGTCCTTGACCCGCTGCTCATACGTAGACAACACCTTCTGGATATAGCTTTCAGCACGACCCAAGACTTGCAACGTTAACTCCTCAGCATGTGGCGAGCCTCTCTGAAAATTGAGAATCTTAACGCAATCTCTTAAGTGTTTCAAAACCGGATCCGGTTGATCGTGCGCTGGGCTTCCTCGTATCCTGCGAATGGCGGGAAGCAGGCGGTTCAAACGTTCCAAATACTTTCGGCGTACCTCCGTCAACTTTGCCCAAACCTCCTCCACTTCAGGGTTTGCAGATGTTGCAGGAGTAGCCTGATTGACAGCAGCCGTTGAGGCCATTGCGTTTTGAACGTTAACCATTGCAACAGAAGTCATGCCGGCAGCAGCTACAGCCGCTGCTGCTGCACCGTTGCTATCCTGCATTTGACCACGGGCGTTACTGTGCTGGGGTTGAGAGCTACGCGGTCTATTTGCTGCGAGAAAAGCATTAGCTAATGCTGCGTCCTTCTGCTGAGAAGCACCTTGCTTTTGGAACCTGGCGTTCTCAGCAAACATAGCGTCCACCTGCGGGACAGTCATACCTGCAGCGGCAGCGTTCGCAGCAGAGTTGTGCACACCTTGCTTCGCTGCAGCAGCCCCTGCGGCGGCATTCGCAGTCCGGAGCTGTTGCTGTCGGGCTTGTTGCATTTGCTTTTGGTTCATGGCGAGCACCTGATTCAAAGGAAAGTTGTGGCCATTCATGTGGACCTGGTCATTAACCCTGACGCCACTCATGTTTGCAAACTGCCCCATCCAATTTCCAATTGGAGCGGCAGACGAGACTGCAGGATTACCAATGTTTCCGTTGCTCATATTTCCAAAGTTGAAAGCCGAATTGTTGTGACCCGTGACGGCAATAACTCTCCTAAAATCCTCATCCGAGAGATTACGAACTTGTTCCTGAGAAAACTCCACTCCTGGCGCTACACCCGCGCCAACAAGCCCCATTCCCATATCCTTACGGTTATCAACACTACCGGCACCTCCAGTGGATGGGTCCGAGCCCATGGTGCCCGGCATGGCGCCGCTCGTCGGCACATTCCTCCCCGGCGGTATGGCCTGCGACCTCTCGATATGCCTCATCGGCGGGGAAGCCTGATCATGTGCCTGCTGCTGGTGTGCCTTGTACAGGGCCTGTTGCACCTGCAGCACCTGGCCGGGAGCCATGGGCTGGCCATGGTGCGAAAGCGCAGCGGAGGCCTGCGCGCCCTGATGCGCGTGCTGCTTCGCCAAGGCGATGAGATACTCATTGTGGTTCGGCTGGAAGGCACTTCCGTCGGCGGGCAGCGCCCTCCTCCTCAGCAGCTCGGCGTTGCTCAATGCGGCGTGATTCGAGGCCTGCGGTTTGGCCCTGAGGGCGGCGGACACAGCGGCGGCAGCGCTGGGGGTCTTGGCGGCCGCCGCGACCGCGGCTGCGGCCTTCTTCTTCGTCGCCTGGGCCGCCTGCTGCCTGCTCACGGCGGCGGCGTCCTTTCGCGACGGGGCGGTCTTGGCGGCCTGGCTGTGCTGCTGCTGCTGTTGCTGTTGCTGTTGCTGTTGCTGTTGCAGATGTTGCTGATGTTGCTGATGTTGCTGTTGCTGTTGCTGTTGCTGTTGCTGTTGCTGTTGTTGCTGTTGCTGTTGCTGTTGCTGTTGCTGTCGCTGGGCCCGCTGCTGCATGATTAGCCTCTGGACCTGCAGCTCTTGCTGCGTCTGCGTCTGGCGGTGGACCTCCTGGCTCATGCTCATGCGCTGCTGCAGCGAGGCCTGTCGGTGTGCGAAGTTCTGCTGGTTGATGTGCCTCATGGCGGCGGGGTTTGCCATGCGGGCTGCGTTGGCGGGCTGGGCGCCCGCGGCGTGCATGCCGGCCGTCTGGTGCTGGCGGACTGAGGTCTCGACGCGGCTCAGGCCCTCTGCGATCTTCTCCAGATAGTCGCGGCGGCTGCGCGCGTGTCCGAAGGCTTGGGCCTCGAAGGTGCGCGTGCGGTCCTTGAGAACGTCCTCGGCGACGTTGGTGTAGTAGTTTGCAAGCTTGTGCATGATGTGCTGGCACACCTTGACGCGGTCATCGCGCGGCATCTCCCGCCGCCAAGCCGTGGCGTCGGCGTTGGGGTCTGCGCCGGTGTCAGTCATGGCTGGGAGGGGGGCGCAACGGGGGAGGGAGGGGGAGGGAGGGGGCGAGGGGAGTACGGGGAGGGGGGGAGGGGGTGAGGGGGAGTGGGGAGTGGGGAGGTGGGAGGGGGCGTGAGGCCGGTTGCATGGGGGGCGGACGTGGTTGATATCAGAATTTTCAGCCCCGACCGGGGCTGCTGGAGGGGGGCTGGGGAGCGGGTGCGTGGAAGGGCCAATGAGCGTGCGCGCAGCGGGGGGTGCATTTTGATCATTTTTAGGGGGCATCCGTCTTTTCCGTGACGTGTTCTGGGGAGCGCGCCATTCTGGTCAGAGCGCGCCCTTTTTCCCCCGAAGTGCAGTAAACGTGTACGTGTACTTGAGCACGCACCAGCGGCAGCCCTCCGCCGCCGCGCCGCGCCTGCGCATCTCCCCGCGGCAGTCGCGCCCGACCCCGGCACGTCCAACGCGCCGCGCGCATGCGCGCGCGCACGCTGCCGAGCAACCAGTCGCGGACCCGCTGCTCGCTTCCGCCGCGCCTGCGCAACGCCCGCGCGTACACGTGTGCGCGGGCGGGGGCGGCCGAGCTGAATGGCCTTCCCGGATGTGCCGCAGAAAGCGGCTCCGTCACGCTCCTTGTTGCCGCGCCCGGGCGTGACGGGACCGCCACTTCATGTCACGCGGCTGTCAACAGGCGCGTGTCGCTGCGGTGCTGGCGCGTTCACTGGCCACTATTGCCCTTTTTGCGACAACCTGTCGCCACCCTAGTGGCAGGTCATGCCTATTGGCTAGACGACAAGTGACCTCATATGATGCAAATCGCTTGTCGTCTACACTCTATCTTCGCTCCTTTGCAACGCCCAGGGGGCCCGTATACAATACGGGCGGAACTGTACCTAATAGGTATATAGGTACTACCTATACGGCGTATAGGTACAGTTCCGCAGTGAATCCTCGCGAAAAGGATATGCAACATAAGCATAACCTTGGCACATGGATACATGCATGCTTCGCCTCCCTCGCCAAATGCCTCTTCTCTATCAATAGTTGACATTTGCATTCGAAGCTTACCAAAGCAGTGTCGAAAAACGGGCGTAATCCCGTTGTTCGACCTGAATTCTAAACTGATCATCTCTGCGTACAGATCGCATTGCATATCTGCTCGACCTGCGAGGCAAAGTTTCACGATAGACGCTCACTTGCAAAATACACAAAGCGATTTTACCATACTGCCACAAAACGTTACAACAACACTACCATAAACTTAAGATTACTATTCCAGGAATATGCAATATATTCAACATCTATGCCTACTCCAGCTCAACCAAGCAACAACTACATCCCGCTGCATGACGAGCCTCTTCCATTACGTGCATACGCCATCCGCCCAGCACCTATTCAGGCCGTGCTCCTTCGGCTGCGTTGGCGGGCTGGGCGCCCGGGGCGTGCATGTCGGCCGTCTGGTTCTCGCGGACTGAGGTCTCGATGCGGCTCAGGCCCTCTGCGAGCTTCTCCAGATAGTCGCTGCGGCTGCGCGCGTGTCCGAAGGCTTCGGCCTCGAAGGTGCGCGTGCGGTCCTTGAGAACGTCCTCGGGGATGGTGGTGTAGCAGTTTGCAAGCTTTTGCAAGATGTGCTGGCACACCTTGATGCGGTCATCGCGCGGCATCTCGCGCCGCCAATCTGTGGCGTTGGCGTTGGGGTCTGCGCCGGTTGCAATCATGGCTGGGAGGGGTGGAACGGGGGAGGGAGGAGAGAGGGTGCGGGGAGTAGGGGGGGTGGATAGGGGCTTAAGGGCTTAAGGAGTACGCCTGCATGGGGAGCGGACGTGGTTGACTGATATCAGAATTTTCATTCGCCATCGGGGCTGCTGGGGGGGGCTGGGGGCGGGTGCACGGGAGGGCCAATGAGCATGCGCGCAGAGGAGTGAAATTTGATCATTTTTGGGCGGAATTGCTGTCGGGAGACCGCAAACGGGGCGGTCTGGAGGGGTTGTTGAGGTGTGGACAGCGAGTTGGTAAATAGAGTTGCCAGGGAAAAAGGGAAGCAGCAGGCTATTACAGTATAATGGTCTTCCCGGATGTGCCTCAGAAAGCGGCTTCGTCACGCTCCTTGCTGCCGCTGCCGGCGTGACGAGACCGCCGCATTACAGTTGCGATCTCCTTACAGCCGCGTGTCGCCGCTGAGCTGGAGCGCACACGTGCCACTTTCGCCTTTTTGCGACAACCTATCGCCGCCATAGTGGCAAGCCCTGCCAATGTCTACACGACAAGTGGCCAAAATATGAGGCCATTTGACCTCATATGAGGCAAATCGCTTGTCGTCTACACTCTATCTTCGCTCCCTTGCAACGCCCAGCGGTCCGTATAGGTACAGTTCCGCAGTGAATCCTCGCGAAAAGGATAGGCAACATAAGCATAACCTTGGCACATGGATACATGCAAGCTTCGCCTCCCTCGCCAAATGCCGCTTCTCTATCAATAGTTGCATTTGCATTCGAAGCTTACCAAAGCAGTGTCGAAAAACGGGCGTGATCCCGTTGTTCGACCTGAATTCTAAACTGATCATCTCTGCGTGCAAATCGCATTGCATATCTGCTGGACTTGCGAGGCAAAGTTTCACGATACAGTAGACGCACAGTTGCAAAATACACAAAACCAAATTACCCTGCTGCTACAAAACGTTACAACAACACCAACATAAACGTAAGATTACCCCACCCTTCTAGGAAATTTGCGTTTTATTCAACATCTATGCCTACTCCAGCTGAAGCAAGCAACAACTACGAGCCCGCTGCATCACGAGCCTCTTCCACCACGGGCATCCGCCATCCGTCCAGCATCTCTTCAGGCCTGGCTCCTTCGGCTCGAGCCGGCATTTCCCTCTTGCATCGCATGCACCTTGCGCCTGCCGAGTTCGTCCGCGACCTTCTCGAGGTACTCGAGCCTACTCTCTGCGAAGCGGTACGCAAACGCCTCGACGAGGTGCGCGCGGTCCTGCAGCACGTCGTCGGAGACGTCGGGGTACACCTTGGCCAGCTGCTTCTTGACGTACAGATACACGCGGTGGCGGTCCTTGCGCGGCATCTCGCGCCGCCAGGGCACGCTGCCGGGCGTGTGCTCGCTCACTGCGTCGGTCGCGGAGTCGGACGCGGTGTCGGACATGGCACCTGGGGCGCGGAGTCGGGAGCCGGGGCGGGCCTTTTCGGAGGGAGGGGGATATGTGAAGGACTCATGGAGACTGTGTGCCCCCGCTCCGGAGTCTCCGTGGGCTTTTGGGTTTATATACACAGCTGCACGGCGGGTGCGGGCTTCGGAAGTGACATGCAAGCGTGCTTGTGGGGTGTAGCGTGCTTTGTGAACAGGGGAGGTCTGTGGAAGAAGGACATACATGCCTGCACCGGGGCTTCGATGTTTTTAGAGAGTCGGGAGGCCTCTATACCTCGGTAACATCAATATCGACATGCCCCATTGAATACCATATTGTTACAAACCTATCAGGCGTGACCTCGCATGGCATGGGCGGATGTGCGGCGAGAGCTCATATCCATGAGCTGGTACCATAACGGCCGACATTTCCCAGAGTGCTGTTAGCGCTATTGAGAAGTTTGGAGAACCTGCAGGCGAGGATTGTATTATTAGCAGTCACCAATGCTGTTTCTGAGGCACCGGCTACCTCTGTTTGGCCGTGCCCCATAATAGCTGAGCCCATTGCACAAATGGATATCGCTACATCTTCACAAGATAACTAGCAGCAGCCTCAACCACTCCCGTGTTTGTAATATCCTATTTCTTGACCAATAGCTCAGACCTTTAATGTACCCATACCTAGTTGTGTAGCTTTAGACAATGCGATTGCTTCAAGTCAAACTTCAGACCAGACTCTTTCCCCTCCCCCCTATTCATCACTGGCTGGGCCGCTGTCTCAAATTCGCCTTTTAATAGAGAGATTACGCCTAGACAATTCTCGAAATATTTTCTTGACATGCTCTGCGGCTCGCTCGAAGATTTGCTGGTTATGGCAAGGATTGGTGGGGCCCCTCTCTGAACGGTGAAAAAAGCGGCAGGAATACGAATGAGTTGAAGGATTATCGATAGGGTCTGGTGATTGAAAGAGTTGGCGGTCGTCGCGCAGAATGCAAACTATTCGTTGCAATGGCGGCCACATGTATCGTTTAGGTCAATTCTTCCGTGGAAGCGCTTCAACCCTTTGCCGGATTTTCTGCATCTTGTCGTTCTAGAAGGAAAGATTGAGGTTGGATCGGCTACTTACAGGACAAGCCTCGTCAGAGGTCTCTTCGGTTTCGGTAGGGACGAGGTGTGTCACGAGTCTGAAACAAGGCACACAACTGCAATACAAAAAGCACTGTACAGATGTACAGAAGTGTTTTCCGCTTTCTACGATAAAGTCGTCCAGTTTTTGCGACATGATCTTTGCGATGCAGGCTTCAGTCCCCTCCACCTGTCGCCCTTCTACACGCCGTTCTCCACGCATACCCGCCGTTCATTGGCTCCCGATGAAACAAGCGTGACCACAGAACCGGCCGCCAGTGTTGCCTGTGGGGCCAATCTCGCTCTGTCCCCCGACGCGCCACGGCCGACAACACACGCGAACTGCCCCCCCCCCCCCCCTACGGCCCTTCTCACCACCACCTCTCTGCGCCCGTCCGCGCCGGCCCCGCGTCTCACGGAAGTTGCCTCCTTCATGGGCGCTGTCTCTCACTGTTACGAACCCACGAAGCCTGCCGTCGCCCCCTCCATCGCCGCCCTTCTCACCCAGTCAGGCCCGGCCATGCACCCCGACACCCGCCGCTCCCTGGTCAAGCTGCTCGCCCTGCTGCGCGCGCGCGGCGGCGCGGACCCCGCCCTCGTCATTCCACTCTTCTTCAGGCTCCTCGTTTGTAACGACAAAGTCCTCCGCGGCATGCTGCACGGCCATATCGTCAGTGATATTAAGAAGCTCCAGGCGAGTGGCCACTCGTGTCGACGGCCGCTG